AAAAAAAAAACCGCCGTTGGGCCTTCGGCGCCGGCCGCCCCGAGGGCAATCGCGAGATGCCGTGCCGCTTTTTCCCGGCGCCGGGAAGGGGCGAACGAGTTTCCCCGGAAAAACCCGGAAAAAAAATTTTTAAAGGGGGCCACCCCCCTCCCCCCAAGAAAAAAGAAAAACAAAATCAAAAAAAAAAAATACATTTTTTTGGTTGGCGTTTTCCCTTGGGGGGTGTTTTCCCGTTTTGGCCGGCAGGACGGTCCCGCCGTGGGGTCCTGAGCCCCTCAATCTTTTTTTTTTCTTTTCGTGGGCCGTTGTCGCCCTTGAGGACGGGAGGCGCTGGGAGAAAACGAAAAAAAAACCATGAAATCCTTTTGGATTTCTCTTTTGGCTTTCCTGCGTCGCCTCACCTTTTTTTTTTTTTTTTTTTCAAAACAAAAAAATCAAACCTTCGCGAAGGTAGTTCCCAAAATTTATTAATGAAGATTGAGCTGCGCCGCTTAGTAAAAGTCGAAACGGCGATGCTCACACAACCGATAAATTAATTTTTATAAAAATAAGTAAAAAGAATAAATTAAAAAATATTTTTAAACTAATATTTACTTTTTACATAAAATGCGTGAGTTCCACGGAATAAAACAATGGTATAAAGGGTGTGGTATTTTTAGATCACTTATTTGCCATCTAAATAGAGGTTCAAATACATGGATAGCATGTTTTTTTTTTTGGCACTTCTTTACAGTTTTTTGTCCCGTCTCCCGCTCGGGGTTGGGGTTGGGGTCGTGTGGGTGTTTGGAAACTTCGGTTTGGCAGATTGCGAAAAATAAAAAAAAAATTAATAATAACACTTTAAACGTTAAACACCTTGCCAAAGCCGATTGGAGAAGGGCGGAAGGTATCGAGCAATTCTTTTCACAAGCTATCATAAAGAAAAAAAAAAGCGATCAAACATCAAGGGAACACTATAAATGAAATAACAAAAAAAAATTAGAAACAATAACAACTTGGGAAATAATAAACCAAATGATCTATAAAAAAAGACCGGGTCACAACGGCCAGAGTGACAGCTGTAATAGCTAATCCTGACACCCCCTCACAAAACCTCTCTGTGTTATTTTCTCTTTTTGTTTGGCTTGACGCCGTTTGTTTCCCCCATGCCTTTGGGAATAGTTAGTTGTAAAAACGCCGGGATGGGTTTGGAAGTTTTTCCCCATTAGTATTCGCTGGCGCCTTATTTATTTTTTTCTATTAAACACTGAGCGCCGCTTTTGTTTCTTTGGTGGCAGTTCTTGGGTTCAACATTAGGACTATGCCAAGGAAAATGGGAGCGTGGCGGTCAAATCCGGCGCTCCTTTACCCAAATGATTAAAAATTTCCCAATGTGGTGTTTAAACTTTTGAGTTTATTCATATTTTGCCTTCATATACAAATGCTTTGGCGATATCTCTAAAGTAATGGCGTTTGCAGCGTTCCAAGCATTTTACCAATTTATAATAGGCAAAGGATGGGCATACGGCAGCCGCCATTTTTATATTTTATGTTTATTTTTCTCTCTTTATTGTTTTTGAAGGTTTTTTTTTTTTTTTTTGAAAGTTTGCAAAAAGAATGGCAAAAACTTACTTTATGGGGCAACAATTTTGGATGGGGTCGTGGTAAATCAAATGCAATTTCTTTTATCTTTACAGTTCTCTCTAACCGCAAGTTTCTTAAAACCCCACCCATCAACCCAACCCAGAACGCACCGAGCGGGAAGTGGGTTAAAAAGGGCTTCCCAGCACTTCTATTTCGTTAGTTTCTGTTATGTATTAGAAAAACATCATCTAGAAAAGTTTTTTGGTTAAGGTATTTTTCCAAAACCATAGAACATGCAGGGACGGATGCGGAAAATAAATATTTTCTCTTTTGTTTTTTTATTTCGTTCTTGAAAGGGGAAGATAAAGCTAGGGTATTCTTTTTTTTTTTTTTTCGAAAAGTAAAGAGAGAATAAGCGAAAGAAAAACACAGGGCCGCTACGGGAATTGAACCCGTGACCTCCTGCACCCAAAGCAGGAATCATACCACTAGACCAAGCGGCCGATGATACTGATACAGATTTAATTTTACTATTATATTTATTTATTTAATAAGAAATAAAGGAAGAAACATAAACAGAGAAAGGGAGATCCTTTTTTCTAATTTTTTTTTATATTTACAATATTACCGATAATCAATCGGTGATCACAAGCACCGTGGCGCAGTGGAAGCGCGATGGGCTCATAACCCATAGGTCGTTGGATCGAAACCAACCGGTGCTAAATTTTTTCCCCCACCACTTCCCCATTCTCTTCAAGATTATTTTAACTGTTTTTTTTTTTGATAAAATTAAAGAAAAAAAAAATAATACATAATTAAGAAGAATTACCGTGGCGAGATGGTCGAGTGGTCTAAGACGTTGGATTAAGGTTCCAATCCTTCCGAGGGCGTGGGTTCAAACCCCACTCTCGTCAAACGTTTTTTGTTTTTTCTCCTCAAGAAAAAAAAATAAAAAACAAGAAAGAATAATCTAAGGTTCGTTTTTTGGAAGAAAGAAATTTTCCAAAACGTTATATTTTTAATGCAACCTAAGAACTGACGAAATGGAAGTGCCGAGAAGCCCCTCTTAGCCCGCCTCCCGCTCGGGGCGGAGAGGGTTGGGTTGGGTGGGCTTTTCAGAAACCTACGAATTGAATGGCCCTTTGGAATAAAAAAAAAGAAAAGAAATTTTCCATACTTTTGACCCATACAAGTAAAATATCTACTACCGTAAGACTCGATCATTCTTATCGCAAGCTTGCAAAAAACGCTATGAAAACTCGTGAAAAAGGTGAGATGCGCAAAAAGTTGTGCTCGACCTTCCTTTGCGCAAGAAGGCGCCAAAAGGGAAGGTTTTTTTTTTTTTTTTTCCTTTACCCTACGCCAGCCCTTTTCGAAGGGGAATCGCCAAGAGGGAAAAACGAAGGAAAAAATTGTCCAGGGGAAAGGCGCCCATTCTTTCACCATACCCCGCTTTCCTCTTTTCCCACCCGTGGGGCGGCGAGGTTGCCGAAGGGATGGGTTCGCCTCCCCTGCCTTTTCATTCTCTCTTTTTCTGTTTTTCTTTATTGCGGGATCCTTTCCTCCCGGGTTGGGGGCGGTGTGTCCCTTTTTCATTCCTTGGGGCTGTGGGTTTCCTGGTGTTTTTTTTTTTTTTTTCTTTCTCGTTGCGTTCTCAACCCCGTTGTTTCTTGGTGGGGTGTTTTTTTTTTTCATTTATCCACTCGGCGGTGTTGTTGTGGTGTTCTTGTGTGTGTGTGTGGGNGGGGGGGGGGTGACCCCGGTGTTTCCTCTGATTTATCCACTCTTTATGGTGATGCCATTCATTAAATTAACTGATTTTTCAAGGGAATCTGAGGGAAAGGAGTTTATTTTTTTTTTAAAAAAGTAAAATAAAACAAATTAGGTATTTAATCCTTTTTTTCCTCTTTCTTTTTTTCCCCCCCTTTCTGTTGTATTTAACCTTTTTCTTACTCTACTTTATAAAGAGAGAATAAACTAAAGTTTTAGCATCAAATGGACGTTGACAAATCAAGTTTTCCATTGATTTTAAGGGATTTTGAAGAATCACTTGAACAATGTCATTTCATTGCAGTTGATCAAGAGATGACAGGTGTTCAGTTTGAGGATCAACCCCCGTCATGGAGTATGCGTTTAGAAAATCTATTTCAAGATTCACGTAAAGTTGTGGAAAATTTTATTGCATTTCAGTTTGGGATTGCACTCTTTACCTTAAAAAAAGATGGAATTTATGAAGTTAAACCATATAATTTTTATTTACAAAAAAGATCAGGTGAATATCTTGTAAATGTCGGAGCTTTAGAATTTTTGACTTTACATAAAATGGATTTTAAAAAATGGTTGAGTTCTGCTATGCCGTATTGTAATAAAGATGAAGAGGAAAAATTACGTATGATGAAACCCAATAAGAGATATTCAGATATAGAAGAAAAAATTACTAAGAGTTTGCTTAAAAAAATTGAAGATTGGTATATTAATTTAAATAATAGTAATGAAAAAAATCTTAATATTAGTTCAATTATGAATAAAAATATTGAAAAATTAGCTCTTTTAACTCTTAAAGAAAAAGGAATTTTTGTTTCTTTGGAATATAAACTAGATAAAGATTTTTTGGGACCTCCAATTGATATTATAGTTTCACGTGTAGAGAAAGATGTATTTGAATCTTTCATAAAAGAATTAAAACAAGATAAAATTTTTGATTTAAATAAAGAATTAGGATTTCGTCAGTTTTGGAAATCTATTATAAAATGTAAAAAACCTTTAATTGGTCATAATTTTTGGTCAGATATTATGTTTATGGTTAATATGCATGAGGGAAACATTGCTTCATCATATGAGCAATATAAAAAAGATATTCATACTTTATTTCCTACTGTTTATGATACCAAAACACTTTCTCGTGCAATAAATTCTAAGGATCCTTTTATTTCATTTCATCTTGAAAAATTATACCAATATTGTTTAAAAATGAATGAAAATTCTGATAAACCACTGATTTTTGAGTCACCTCCTGGTTATCACAGTTATGATCCTAGATGTATAGGAAGTCACGGAAAAGCACATGAAGCAGGATATGATGCTTATATGACAGGTATAGTTTTTGCTTTAATTAAAGATAATTACAAAAGTGGAGAAGGTTTTAAAATAAACGATTGGGAAAATATTATTTCTGTTTTTGGAAATCATTACTACATGAATTTGAATGGTAAAGATTTTTTGCAAATGAAGGGAACGTTTTTATTAAATTTTGAACAAGATATAGATAAACGTTTGCTGAATTCTTTTCTTGATATTAGAAAATATGACGAGGAAGATAAAAATGATCAAGATAAAATTCCATCAGTTTTCCGTATTACTCACGATATAAATAAAGAAATTGGTAACTCTTTTGTAGTTCAATTTATTGATGAGACAATAAATGAAGATGATATACAAAAACGAATTGAGTTATCAATAAAGGAAATGGGTGAGTGGATATCTCAAACGACAGGAGAAAAGGATTTTTTTTTCCCAACGATCAAAAAGATATCTCGATTTGAAAATTAATAACAAGAAAAAAAAAAAAAAACACATTTTTCTTTTTTATTTAGCTTTCTTGGGGAGTGTGTGAGGAAGGGATCTTGTTAACAAACTTTAGAAGGAATTTTGAATGCCTAACGCCTTCAGTAATTGCATCAGTACCAGCAATATCAAGAGAAAGAAAAGAAAAAAAAAATACTGATATATATATATATATATATATATATATATATNTATATATCTGAGACGATCTTTTATTTATTTATTATTCTCTTTTGCGTGATGTTTTTTTTTTTCACATCTCTTTTTTAGTTTCCTTTTATTTTGTCTGAATTCGAGACTAACCTATCTGTGTGTATTTTTTTTTTTCTTCTTTTTTCTTCTTCCTTATTTCCTTCCTTTGATGTTGGTAAATGTGTTTGATTTTTAGGATGTATGCGAAGAAAGGTAGTTTTACCTTTTTTGAGTGGACGATGGATATCTTCGTGGAACGATGGATCTGATGGATACGAGTGGAAATCACGTGCTTTGGCAGAAAAACGTTCCCTTGCCCTTGAATATCTAGGAGATGTTAGTAAAAGAGTACAGATTCATGATGCGATCCGTTTAAAAGCCGACGTTAACAGAAAAGCTATTGAAGATACAGTGATACCTAATTTTTTTAACTCAAGTGATGAAAATCAAGATGATGATATTGATAGAATTGGTGAAATTGATTATTATTCTTTACTAAATATGGTTGAAGGAGAAATTGACCCTGATAGTTTACAACATCTTAGTTCCTCTGATGCTTCACTCTTAAGGAATGAGTTTTTAGAAGAAGATGATTCCTCTGAGGCAAAACTTTTATCCAAATGGATTAACTATCGTCGTGACACCGCCGATTACCAAAGCTATGCATCAGTACCGGAGGAGGAGCGAACGGAATGGTCTGCGTGGTATCTCCGTAACGTGCGTGCGACTCCGAGTAATGATGAGTAAAAGAGAAAAAGAGGAAAGTAGCTCTGCATGTCTGTCTCTCTCTCTCTCTCTCTCTTTTTCACACATAGAGAGATGATGTTGTGTGTTGTCACATACTTTTTTTTTTTTTATTTTTCCTTACCCCTACACTTCCTTTGTATTCCAGTTTTGAGATTAATAAATAAATAAATAAACAATATTTTTTTATTTGGATATTAATGTTGTTATGAAATGGATTAAATTTTTTTATTCTCTTATTTTTTTTTTTTTCTTTATATAGGAATTTAATTTAGGGGAAGACAAAAAAAAAATAAGGAGTAATGGGAAATCGTATTCTCTTCTTGATAACACTTTTAGTGTTTCTTCAAGTAATTCTTGTTAATGCTGCGTCTAACGATACTTCAAGTAATACAATTACAATGTCTGGAGATGTTGCTACTGGTCTTCTTATCGGTGTAGGATTAGTTGGATTACTTGCTTTTTCGATAGGTATGTTGACTGACATTGAAACACCAGACGCAATGGCCCAACCACGGAAGGACGGAAGCTGAGAAAAAGTTTTTTTTTCCATTTTCTTCTTTTTCTCCCCATTGCGGTGGAAACCAATATGACAAGTGTACGAAAATAATTGGAAACATATGTTCGTATATGTTTTGATATTATTATTATTATTATTATTATTATTAGAAATTATGTCTTGTATTTTGAACTTTTTTGGTTTTCTCAAGAGATAATAAATAATTAAATAAAAAAAAATATTTTTTTTTTTGCTTGCTAATTAGTAAATTATTTTTATTAATTTTTTTTTTTTTACTCTTGTTTTTTTTTTAATATTTTAATTATTTTAAATGCTCACTAGAAAAAGATGGACGCAGTTTTACCAACTGAAACGGATAAAATTGCTATTGATAGGCTTCTCACATGCGGTCTTCCACGAACATTAGCCAGACACGCTATTATCGTTTTACATTGTTTTAGAACCTTTAGTAAAGAGGATGTTCCTATAGATGTTCTTGTCGGTGGATGTGTATTATATTCGCTTAAGCAGCGTCAGTGTCCAAGTGCTACTAAAGTTATTAAAAAATGTTTGGAACGGGTTAAAGAAAGTGATATTGTTGGTTTTGAACTTTTATTGGTTCAAATTGTCCGAGAAAATATATTGTTAGTTGAAGCATGCTTACGTTGCGTATTTCAAGAAATATTGTTAATAAATCCTTCTCTTGGGTTTAACCGTGAAAGAACGATACAGATTTGTTTGCATCTCATATGTAATCTATACGAAACAAGATGGTGTCTTTTCCCTGAAAGTGCGGCGAGAGGGGCTCTTATTGTGGCGTGTGAGAAATGTAAAGCAGGTCCTTTGAAATTATCCAAATCTTTTGAGGAGCCAATGGTTACACGGATTGCGGATTATCTCCGAAAAACATTTGTATAAATAATAATAATAATAATAAAAAGAGTAAATTGTCTCATTTGAATAATAATAATAATTACTAATAGTAATAGTAATTATTATTATTACCATTATTATTATTATTATTATTATTATTATTATTA